TGCTCTCTCCGTCTCTGCATGTTTTATCTTGTGCTGCTCTTTTTTTGTTAAACGGACTCAGTCAGGACTTGTTAACCTGCCAAGGATGAGAAAAGAACACGTTCCTGGTTTGTTACGAGAATCCGGTGAGGATTTTTAGCGCGTGGCAGCCAAATCGCCTTCCAGACTCAAGACAAAGACATTAAAAGTCAGTTATAGCAGCAAAAACATCAGGGCTTGGCTGCTGTTTTAGAGTTTCAAATGATGGAAATTTGAATAAGTACGACTAAAATGAAGCTTTTGACTCATTAAGCACTAATTCTGACACATCTTGTGTCACCTTGGAGTTTATTTAGAAGACGGGGATGCTGTCTAACCATGAAAATCTAATATCTGCACAAGATCTCCTATTTTTTACGTGATATATGAAGAAAATATTTTTTAATAAAAGAAAATTACCCACCTTCAGACCCTTTAGAAGCTGATAAAAGAGGTATTTGATGATTTGATCAGTTAGTCTCTTTTTCTTCATAATATGGCTCAGGTCCTGGTATACGAAGGGCATAACCATATAACTACAGGAAGACAGGAATGACATCACGGCGTAAGAATATGGTAAGTCTCAACAAGCTGCAAAACCCAACGCCATCTCAGCTTACAAGGTTTGGAATTTCTCCAGCGTGGCGTCCGGCGTGAAGACATCGAGGAGGCAGATCACCTGTAACAAAACATTATGTGGGTTTGTATCTTAGATGGTATTTAACCTCGTAGCATTCCAGCGTCCCGCCCCTGGGACAAAACCCCATCGCGTTCAATAAACCTGAAAATTTAAGGGGTTAAAAATCATTAAAATATCAAAACAATATTAAAAGTAAATTGATGCAAAGATAAAAAAAGTTGAGTTTAGACTCAGAAAGTGAAAACTTTATTCACAAAAACAGAAAATTAACGATAAAACCTTTTTATCTAGTTTTAAAGTTAACACTTAATACTTTTCCTGCCCCCCAATGGTTGGAAGTGGAATTACAACTGCAGTAAACAACTCTGCCACAGGCTTGGCAGGTAACGATGTTGTCGTGTGTCTTTATTAATTCATGATTATTTGCAGTTTAGAAACAAAGAAAAATTAGGATTTAGAAACGGTTTTAGACGTTTGTGACTGAAACCATTTAGTGCAGACAGTGCTGACTCTGGTTTTGGCTCTTTATTTGCCCAGTTCACACTTCCTTCTCTGTGCCTCCCACGGCATTACGCTCTTCCTTCACTACCAGACTCGGCCAAGATGCTCCACCAGCAGCTACTTCACCAGCTACTACTGGTTTATTTTTTTCTTCTCATTTTGGTCATGGGTTAGGGTTGCCCCACTAAATGAGAAACACTGCACCAGTGCACTGAACCTCCAAAGTAGTTTAATGCAGTTTCTGGCCAGCAGAGTGCTGTCCCATGTGAAGTAGCGCAAGTTTCTTGCTCAAGAACCACTGGAACCAGTTTGAAAGCAAAAGCTTTAAGGTTTTAAACCGCTTAAGTGTAGCTTTATTTTGAGAAAGGCTTGTCAAATAGTGCTTGTCGTAAACTGAGATCGTACTGACTTACGAGGCTTAATCGGGCAACAACGAGAAAAACATAATTTTTGCTAAATGTTGCAGAACTGCTTTTCTGTTCCTACGTTTTCATGCTGTATGTGGCGGAGCAGCCTGAGCTCCCTGTAAGCCCGTTTGGCGTGGATCAGGGACTGGAACGGACGGTACAGCTTCTTGATGGCCACCTTCTCTTTGGTCCTCTGGTCCAAGGCAGAGCTGCATGGGATTAAACAAGATTTTACTCATTAAACCGACTTATTTACACACCACACAGGGATCACGTGACTCATCATCTCATTGGCAACAGTGAAGATTTCTTGTTTTTGAAGGATGAAAAGATCCGTCTGACTTGTTGGAACTAAAACTTAGGAACAGCTCTTATCTTTACTCCAAAAGAAATGTAAATCCTCCGGTTCTTATTAAAACAGGTCAAGCAAACCAAATTCACACCAGCTGGACGAAGATCTGTGTGATCTGTGTGAGATAAGCCGGCTGATTGGATGCTCTGTGGGCTGTCATCAGGAGGAACTGTGGATTCCTGGATCTTTATGTTGCTTCTGGAGATTCTTGTGATTTCACAGGACCTGCATTGACTTGCTGACTCGCTTCAGGCAAACCTTTCTCAGAAGAGACACGCTGATTTTTTTTTACTGCCTCAAACACGAGGACAGACAATAGAACATATTTATGCAACTTTATTATACAAAGTAAACTGTTTAAACTCTGTTTATGGATGTTTTGTGATATTTAGTATTTTCCTGCTGATACATCAGCCTCCATTATGTAAATATTCTCATATATTATATTAGGTCACAAACTTTTTTCCGTTTATTTAATTCAAAATAAAAACAAATAAAACATATAAACAATAATGTGTACATAACAAAAATCAAGTTTGAACAAAAAGGAGCAGAATGAAGAAAAACATATTATAATTTTTGACCCCTTTTCCAGAAGAAATAATCTATTTATATACAATTTCCATTTGTCACATACAGATTCATTTGAAACTTTTTCCTGTTCTTAATTCCGGTGCGATCATGATCATTGATTTAATTTACATTTTCATAATTATTTAGTACACTCAAATTGGTACATTTTCTTAATATAATGACAGAGTTTTTTAAATTTCCCTCTTAAGGTTATTCCATAATTTAACACCATTTACGGATATATTCCATTCCTTAAATTTAGTTCTAAATCTAGGTTTTGTAAACTAACTTTTCTTTCAGTTTCAGGCACCTTTAGGTCATTTAGACTCATTTGTTTTTCCCTAGAGGCAATTAATAAACGGCATTTTGTTCCATTGCTTTAAAAGGGTTCTGCTTGAATGTTCCCGCGAGCCCTTTCCACCTCTGCTTCCTCGCGTCCTGCGCACCTTCCCGCGGGTAAACTCACCACACAGTCCCGTAAGCTCCGGAGCCGATGGCCCGGAGCGTCGTGTATCTCTCCGGGACGTCCCACGTCGTCTTCTGGATCTCCAGTCTGTGGTAGCCCGGTCTGACGGGAGAATCTCTCACCGGGGACTGCATGGCACAGTTTTATTTCCAATTTCTTATAATAATAATAGCGATAAAAGACTTTTCCAGGTGTGTTGTACAACCCTTTGTAAAGGCGGTTCGAAAGGAAGCAAAGGTGAGCTCTGGAGGGAACGCCCCCTTCTCTCGAAAGCAGGTGGGGCAAAAAAATAAAGAAATAAATAACTATCATCCACTCATTTCTAAATGGACACGTTTTAATGTAACATCTGATTGAAATCCGTAATCTGGAACATTTTTATTACTTCTACGGATTTAAAAACATTTTATCACTCGTGAATTTGTGTTTTACCACAAAAATTCACTCGGGCATCTAAAACAACAGATTATGACTAGAAAACACGTCGGATCTCCATTTATATTAGTAATATTCTGGTTAGGGAAGTAGAATTAAAGACAAAAGTACGTATGGATTTTGAGCGTTTAACTGGACGTGTTGTTTGCTAGAAAAGGAAGTGACGTAGATACCGCTCCAAGAAGATAGTCCGGGGAAAAAAAACGCGTTTTATCCATAGACTGTACATACATACAAGATGGTTTTATCTTATTTTAACTTAAGGTGATCCTTGCTTTAAAATGGAGGGAAAAGCAGAATGTTTAAGAAAAGCAGATGATAATTAATTTGTAAATAAAACAGTTCACTTCCTGTCTTTTGACGATAAGTGGCAAATTTGTGAAAATTTAAATAGTTATACTTTTGGAAACACACATGTTTTAAAGCCATTAGAGCAGGGGTGTCAAACATGCGGCCCGCGGGCCGGATCCGGCCTGCAAGCGGGTTAAATCCGGCCCGTGAGATGGCTGTGTAAACTTTATTTTCATACTTTACAATGTAGAGTGAAAATAAACTTATCTTTGTGAGCAAGTTTCCTCTGTAGTGAGTATAAATAAAACAAAGCTGCACTCAAGGCTCACACAAGAACTTGAATCACATCTTAAAGTTGGCCGCCACTCAGGATGTGACTTCTGATATTGATGTGCTGGTGAAAGCTAAAAGATGTTAAGTAAAATGAGTCAAATATACTTTAAGTGCTGCATGAAACTGATCTAGCCATGTTATCTGTAAGCTCTTTGAATCACTAAGAAATGTTTTTTTAATTTATTGATTTTTTCCCCCCAAAATTTCAAGTGCACTTCAGGTGTTGTACTTGTACTATTTTGGATACACTGCCCTCAGGCTCCAGCTTTGTTTTATATTGATTATATTAAAACAAAGGAAACAATCTGAAGTTGTTTTTAATTTACCGGTCCGGCCCACTTGGGACTAGATTTCCCTCAATGTGGCCCCTGAGCTAAAATAAGTTTGACACCCCTGCATTAGAGGTTCCGGTCTCAGCAGCAAAGTCCCCATCTAACCAGCAGGAGGCAGACTTGGCTTTACTTAATATGGTGCAGATTTTAGAAAAGAAAGTTTCACTGTTCGAATCAAAGTACATAGTTTTGATTTAAATGATAATAACCCATATGATCATTGAAACACCACCCGTGGTAGCAGTGGCGGTTCTACATCGAATTACTCCCCGGGCGAGGCCCCCTTTGAGCGCCCCCCCCCCCCAACCCCCCCCCCCACAACCACCACCACCACCACCACACCACCCCACCTGCATGAACACACGCATGTTTTCTACAAACAGGCATGTTTTATTAGAACGACTACTGAACATTCATTTTTCTAAGTTGCACATATTTACATTAATTACTATGAAGTTGTCAGAATGTAAAGCACTATACATTATACACTGTATCAAAATATATAGAATCAAATATACAAAAACAAACAATAACTAAATGTTAAGAATATATGAACATAATAGATAATAAATATTCTAAATAGCAAAAATATTTCACACATAACAAACTAAAGATAATCACTACAGCATTGCACTTAGAACAGAAAACACAAACTAAAATTAAAACCTAACCTTGATGCAACATCATCAATAATGTCATCACATGAAATCTGCTCCCCTACTGAGTGATTGATACTAATCAGAGCCAGGTTAGTGAGCCGCCCCTGAAACATAGATGACCTCAGGTATGACTTGATCAAGTTTTGAAAAGCTCCTCTCAGCTTGAGCCACAGGGACTGGCAGAGCAGTCCAAAAGTTGGGGTAGATCTCCAATAGATCTCATGATCCATAATATTTTAGAATTGCCTCTGAAATTGTAATTTAAACTGACATAAAAAACTGTAGACTACCAAAAATGCCAACTTTTACAGAACAAATCATGTAAAAAATAACCAGTGCAGCCATCTGCAATAAATAAACAGGATAGTTAGTGGTGACTGGGGAGTTTTCTTCTGCTTGTAGAGTTGTTTTATTTATTATTATGTGAACATGATCAACATGTTTGTTGTTGTTCAGGCAGGCCACAGGCTGCAGCGAGCATTTAACAAATCCTAGTTTGAATCAGTAAAAAACGATTCAAGGACTTTTTTCAAACCATTTGAATATTCGTTTAAATATTTCAGCCCTATTAGCTCTGTTAGCAACTAGCTGACCGCATTTAACCGTTAAAATCCCAGTTAACTGGTAAAAAAATTGAAAACATGCATCATGAGAGCTACATACCTTTATCTTTCTGCTCTTTTTTCTTTTTTTCCCCCTGAATGGGGCACCTGGTGGTTTTAGCCTTTTTATGTTCATCTCTTCTGTTTGGCTCCTGACTCAGTAAGTTTCCTTTAGTCAGGACTAAACTATTTGACCTTGATGGGGGGGTGACCACAAAATCGTTTTGTTTTTCCTTTTTTTATTCGGCCATTTCACACAATTCAGAGAAACCTGAAAGAATGATAGGCCTGTGTTTATGATATTATGAATGAAATATGGAAGAACGTTAAGATGTGATTGACTTTAGCCATGTTAATACAGTTGATTCAGCCCCTGCACGCTCATTTCATCTGGGAAAGACGCAGAGGTGAATTCCCCCGCCGCACCCCTCCCCTTCCTGTTCTTCATAGACACACGGAGCACGTGAACGTTCTCAGTCAGCAGGAGCGCCTGCAGCTGCAGGGGGCGCCAACTTGCTGTTTCCAATCCAGACACTGTCATATGACAGATAATAGAAAACCTCGGTGCGGCGCAGATTTCCTTTTTTTTTTTTACTCCGCGCTTGTGCGCCCCTTTTGTGTCATGAAAAAATGCCGCCCCGGGCAACTGCCCTGTCTGCCCGTGCCTAAAACCGCTACTGCGTGGTAGTTTTTAATCATATTTTAATTATATGCATGTATTACAAAATAATAGTAACAATAACAATGCTGATTATGAATAACAATAAAGCTGCCATAATGAATATCATCTCCATAAACTACAGAAGTTAGAAGGGGTGAAAAAAACCTGCAAAACAGAAGCAGGGTTTATCTTTACAGACGTGGTTCCTTCCCCATTCAGAGCTTCGGAGCACGATTTCTGTCAAGTCTACTGTGACTGAGGGGACTTCCGAGTGCGTTTTTCAAAGTAAACGTCCTGTGTTTGTCAGGTTTTAGTTCACATTTTAGATATTTGATGACTCTTAGTAATAGAAAAGCATCAATTCATGCACCAATGCCTTTTTTTTAGCACTAAACAGTTCTTAGTCATATGGTTTACAGTTAACCCAAAATGCATGACTGGTTTGTGGAAGGAAGCCAGAGCAGTTCCCAACCTTTTTCCAGGAGGTCCCACTCGCCTGTGTCCAAGACAACCCAGGATTCTCCAACCCCAACTCCTACCTGCATTACAAACTTTTTACAGACACACAGAGTTATAGCTCTTAGACCAACTTACTGATCTTGTATCAATGTCTTTTTTTTTTTTTTTTTTTTTTTTTTTTTTTACAAATATGATCTTGGTAACCTCACAACCCCAGCACAGGCTAAACTACTGAGACCCCTAGAATGTTGTGGGGACTCTAGAGGATTGGGAGACAACCCACACTTGCATGGGGAGACTCCAGGATTTGAACCGGCAACATTCTTGCTAGAGTGGCAAATATTGGTAAAGGTGCTATCATGAAGACATAATAATAATAATAATAATAATAATAATAATAATATATTATTATTATTATGCTTTTATTTTGAAGGCGTGGGCATGCCGCTCTCTGTCTCCGCGTGTCTGATTGGGACAACTGTCCTCGTCTCGCTCCACAGCGCCTCCTCTCAGATGAGGAGGTCTGCCGGTGCCCCAAACAACAGCAGAGACGGTTGAACACACACGCGGAATCTGGACTCGGAGTTTCTAAAGTCTTTGGTTTAAAAACAAAAATAAAAAAACACCTTTTCCAACGTTATTCCCATTAAACGAATCGGTATTCCCGTTAGTTTGAAGGACTGGACCTCATCGGCTCCGAGCGTGGATGTGCGTCTAGTTTATTTCTCTCCTCAACATGAAAGGCTGAATCTCCCGCTTCACACCCAACAGGTAAGTTTTTCTTTGTCTTTTTTTATCCCTGTTCTTAATTATATGTTCAGAAAAAACGACTTTTAAATAATTTAAAAAAGGTATGTGGTTAATCAGATGCATTACTATTAGATAACAGATTTACTTCCACTAGGAAATAATCAAAACCCCATAACGACTCCCTCAGACCTGATCCAAGTTGGGACCCCCACCACGCACCCACTCATTTGTCAGCTGATGCAGGAATGTGTGTGATCTGTGGGAGCCAAGTGTCAAATGCCTTGTTCACCTGCTTGTGTTCAGCTGCTCACTTGTCGCCTCATTTAGAAAAGAGATTTGATCCCCCTTGTCTGAACTTGACAGGAGTTCACTCGGATTTTTAACGAGTCATCAGTTTTCTGGAACTTCTGTGTGGTGGCTGCTGCTGCTGATGGGCGTACCATGCAGTGATACAGGTCTGCAGTAGCTTCCTTTGATAAAGCCTCTCCCCTGTGAACAGCTTCTATCATAGGTGTGGACTCGAATCACTCGACTTGGACTCGAGTCAGACTAGAGTCACATTTATCACTGTTTTAAAAATGATTTGAAGAAGTCACAAAAGCTTTTGGACTTGATTCACACTTTAACAACAACGACAGTGACTTGAGCTCACTTGGACTTGAGTCTGTTGTTTTGAAAATGGTTAATCTCTTACTGGGTGCAACGGCATTGCTGCTTTATTTCTGATCAAGTTCCGTTTCTGGTTGTTCAAGTAATTAAAATAAAGTTTTCAAGAGGCATTTATGTATTTTCTAAATTATTTTTATGACTTTGTAATTAAATGACACGTTTGGTCAAATAGCTTAATTAGGAGTCAGATTTAAAGATTAGACTTGAGACTGGCATGTCCTGGGAATTGACTAAAAACTTATGTATCTTTGGACTTGACACAAGACTGGCATTTCACTTGTCATGACTTGACTCATGACCTGCACATCTTGGCATTTGACTCGAATTTGGACCATTATGCCTTTACTTAACTTTGGAATTTTGTGTCCTAAAACCTTGACTTAACTTGGGACTTGCGCTTCTTGGGATTTGGCTTTACTTGAGACTTGCATGTAATGCAGCCTTTGCCACATAGACTTGCATGCTCTGAGATTTAGATTGGCTGGAGAATTGTATGTCTCAAGACTTCTTTTGACTGGAGACATTCATGTCTTAGAACTTGATTGGACACGAGATCTGCACGTCTCAAGACCTGACTCCACTCAGGACCTTCGGGTCTTGAATCAACTAGGGATTTGATTGTGAAGATCTGAGACCTATGACTTGTAAAGCAATGACTTGGTCCCACCTTTCGCTTCATTCATACAGGAATGCATCTCATTGTGGTCATGGGTTTGTAGAAATGCCTAAAAAAGGAAGATGGAGTTGAGTCCAGCAGCAGGTTTCTGTGCTCAGCTCCAGCTGTCAGATTTAATCTGGCTTAATGAGAAACAGCGCAGAAACTGATCAGAATCTCAACCCAAACTCCAGAGAAGCTGTTCGTTTTCAACTAAGAGGTTTATTTAGTATATTTTAAGTGTGTTAAATGTTTTCACAACATACGTTAGTCGTAAAGAATCTTGTGGTGGTGTCGCCTGGCCTTGGACCTCAGTGATGTAGGTCTTCAGTAACAGATATATCTGAATAGCTGGCCATCTGCTAACTGAGGGTCTGCCTCAAAGAATGATATCCCATTACCCATTCTGGACTGTGGGGGATGAATGGATGAATTGAGGTGTGCTCTTATGGCTTCATCTTTAAGAAATGTACTATTCAGGCTTTGCTCGGTTGAGAAAACAGTATGGAGCCCCTTGGAATGGAGTCTAAAAAAGAAAGCAATGCAATCCATTTACTTTAACTTCACAATCCACTGGTTGATTCAGAAAAGTGTTTTAACCACGCTTTTGATGTTGTTCATATTAATTATTCATGATCTCCATTCCGTTGAATTGTTGCCAAGTTAAACTCCTCTAACTCCTCTTTACAATATTAGCATCTCCTTATCTCCTGTGGCATGTTTTATACATTTATAGAAGACTAGCAAGACTTTATTTTAAGAATTATCAGTGAAAATAGAGAAATAAATAAAAGAAAATCGTGTTAACTAGTGACACGATCGCTGCAGGAACTTCGATGTAGATGAAAGGCAGGTAAAATTAGTGTGATTTTCAGGTTAATGGATCTCAATGTTGCACAAAGATAAAGTTACATGTGCACACTAAATATAACATAATTCCTTGGTGATGCTACAACAAGCTTTGAGTGCTGCCCCCATAAGCTCATACTGTACATCACCTGCCACCTTTCATGCCACATATTGCACATGATCTCATAGCGTAGGTGTTGTGAAAGACGCCTGGCACTACCACCTGCAATTTTAGCTAATATTTGGAAAGGTGATTGCTTATCAGAATCAGAATCAGAAAAGGTTTATTGCCATTGTCAGTGAACAAACAATTCACAAACTAGGAACTTGCTTTGGTACTAACGTGCTACATATAACATTAATAATATAATTAAAAATAGAATAAAGTAGAATAAAGTAGAATACAATATAATAAACTAGCATAAAACTTTGCTATATAAAAAAAAGGCTGAAATCACAAGCGCTCAGTAACTGATCAATACCAAAATTGCATAGCTATAGCTATTTTTGTGCTGGCTAAACTTGAATATCTGGCAGGCATCTTTATTGTGGTTGACTCTAAAGGTTAAACCCATGTAGATTTAGCCTGGCAAACCAACCCATATATGTCAATATAGTCTGCCTAGAACCCATTGACAGCTCTCAGTCATGGAGCGGGATCTACATTTGTCTTTCCAACTGTCTCCGCAATGCTACTGGACAACAAACATGACATACTCATCGCTACAGACGTCAGTCAACGGGGTAGTTCACCATACTCTGTCGAAGAAGACGTGAATACATCGTTTTTCTAAATAAACCTACGTGCCTCTATCTGCTCTTGACTCAAAAGAAAGCCCACGTCTAAATAGTCCAAAAGTTCAGTCCAAAGCCATTTCAAATGAGCCGTCACCATCTTAGTTTTGCTCAATCGCAGTAACAGCCTGCCCACCAAATCCATACAGCGCTATGTTTGGGCCGCTAAGGGTGTCAGTCAATGGGGCAGTCCGCTATACGAGAAAGATACAACATCCCGCCCACCAAACAGAGAGCGCTGTGATTGGACTGGTACCAGACTGTCCGGGGTTGTGGATGTTCCACTGGAACGTGGCTAGATCATCGTTTTGCTTCGGCAAATTGACGATTTAGATTCTTAGCTAATATAGGTGTACATTTTCAAATGGTGATAGTGGCATTAAAATGTGTCTCTTTTCATCCACCGTTGTTCAAGTTAGAGGGAAAACAAATCTAATATTTTCCAGATTTAAGCCTAGTTTATGCATCTGCATCGGTAGGGAGACACACAACGCCATTATCCGTCTTTGCAAGGGTTCTCCAGTAGGCTCAAAAGGATGGACGGAGTCAAGCCCACTTTTCTAAACATACGTCTGACGAGATGGAGAATGCAAGCTTGTGATTGGTCAGGACACCACTTTCAATTCAATTCAATTCAATTCAAGTTTATTTATATAGCGCCAAATCACGACAAGAGTCGTCTCAAGGCGCTTCACATGATAAACATTCCAATTCACAGTTCATTAAGCCAATCAGAAATAATGTGTCCTATATAAGGAACCCAGCAAATTGCATCAAGTCACTGATGTCAGTGACTATACAGCAATCCTTATACTAAGCAAGCATATAGCGACAGTGGAGAGGAAAACTCCCTTTTAACAGGAAGAAACCTCCAGAGGATCCTGGCTCAGTATAAGCAGCCATCCTCCACGACTCATTTTCATTAGAACCAACAGGAACGCCATTGCGCCTTCAAAAACATAAAGAGATTCGAAGATATCTAGCGGCAGACACGGAGCAGCTTGAAGAATATTGTTGGTGAGTCTAACCATTGGGTCGCCGAGCAGCTAATTATGTTGATGCGCCCTCAGAGCCATTCCAGTCCAGGTTTTGAATCAAGCGACTTTATTGGTTGTCAAATGTTTCCCTCCATCTGAGTTCACAAGCATCACACAACAAGAAAAACGAAAATATCCACAAAGTAGAGATAATAATCTATGCAAAAAGCATTTGAGCAGTCAGCAAAGGTCGACTTCCCTCATCACCTGCTCACTATACAAAATTCCCACGCATGTGCGCAACAGGTAAATAACAATCGATAGACACCACGTGACCCGAAACTACTCCTACCCACCACAAATATGTTGCAGAAAAACCCTAAAAATACGATCTTATTCACTCATGACTGGAGGAGTAAAACGATACCCAGCGAGCGTTTAATTCGTGGTGTTGCTGGGTGGATACCGTTTGAGTGTGCCATAGGGATCAAACTGTGGTTTGATGGTTCTCGCTCTACAGTATTTATCGCACAGGAAGCCATTAGGTTACTTAGGTTCATTATTCTCAGACCTTTCAGACACATGGAGAGGATTGGGTCGAAGGCCACTTCAGATGCAGCTGGTCACTGAAAGGCAACGCTTAGCTGCTGAAACAAACACTTTCCAGTGCTTTCCATAAATCATAGCACTGTCATTGGTGGGCATGTTAGCACCTTGGATGGGCTCTTGGGATTTATATATGTCATGTGTCTTGTACAACGTAAATTAGGTATTCATCTTTTAGCAGCCTGAGAAATGAAATTGAACTGGAGCAATAAAAGACGATGACGTTTTAATGTTTGTGAGTTGAGCAGCCTCTTCTGGGTCTTCTCGTTTCTTTCTCAGGTGTCACATTCTGTATTAAGATGTGAGGTTTATTTTTAGCTTGATTTTTTTAGCACCTAGGTCATCATCTGCGTGGAACGTAATCATGACAACAGAAAAGAAGTGGCTGTGTGGATTGTGTCTGGTTAATAAGTGGCTGGGTTTGATAATATTCTTCTGGTTGAGTCTTAAAGCCAGAAGATGGAATTATT